TTCTTACCGCTGTTTGCAATGCAGCTGCCTGGCACATCGTGGGCACGCAAAGGTCTGCTGGAGGAATGAACATCAACCAACAGCAGCCCCGGATGTGCTGCACGGTCAGTGCCAGGAGGGTGCGGGGTCCCTTTCAGCCACCAGAGGGCAGCCTCCGCCTGGTCTACGGAGAGACCTTCATGATCCTAAGAAGCCGGCACGCTTGGCTTCCTGGCAAGGTCATCTTCATTGAGCAGAGGCATCTGATGAAATGGGTGGTTTCTGATACAGCAGAACCCTATGTGTCCTTCACTGTTGCCCGTGAAAGGGACCCAGGCCTGGTGTGTGACCACATGGTGGGGACGTCCCAGGGGCCCCGGGCCCTGCCTCTCCCTCTCCGTCCGCAGGGTCTAAGGGAGGGTGGTAGGTGCCTGGCCTCTGAAGAGCCCCACGCCTGGCTTCATGCTCTGCTGTCATTGTCCTGGGAGACTTCACTTTTGAGCAAGGGGCCTCATGTGTTCATGTTGCCCCACAAATCAAGTGCAGGTTCTAGCTGTGGGCGTCTCGTAGGGTCCTCCAAAAGTCACGTCCGAGCATCAGAGCCCAGGAGGGGGTCTACTTTGGGACAGGACCTGGTGGGGAGAAAAGCTGAACAGACTGGGGCTCGGGGCTTCCCCACGGGGAATCCTGGCTAACGGGACCCTCAGCCTGGGGGGTGGGGGCTGCAGGAGAGAAATGGTGAAGGGGCAGGGCCAAGCACATCCTGGCTAATGAGATCCCTCCCTCCTCCTCTCTCTCTCTTGCAGTCAGCTTTTCTCTCCTTTTTCCCTTTTCTCCCTGCTTCCTGTCTCTTGTCCAGTTTCCCAACTCTCCTTTGCACACCACCCCATTCTCTAAGATCTTCCTTTTCTTTCTCTTTATGTCAACAAATAGTGTAGTCCCTGCTCTGTGGATCTAGCACAACCCTCTCTCCTGATCATTTTTTTTCTGTTTCAATTCTGGTGTTTTTTTTTCTTTCTCAGTTTTCCTTTCCCTTTTCTGTCTTTTGTTAAGGCGGGGGGGCCCAAAACCACATTCAAATCTGTAAAGAATTTTTATGAGTTTATCTGAGCCAATCTGTCGACAATGGTGGAGAGGGCAGTTTTGCACCTTGTTTTATGCATTACAATCAAAGGAGGAGACGTAAGTGGGTCACGTGAAATCCATTGGAGATAGATCAGGGAGGCGGGAGAAAGTAAAGGGGGCGACCGCTGGGATTGGATAAAAAGTAAACTGAGACACGTGGTTCCTTTACTCAGGTGGGTATAGGAGAGTCAGCAGGCAACAGTTAACGCACTAACAATAACCGAGGGAATGTGTGGTCCGCCAGGGCGCCGGGGCTGTGCTCCGCGGGGCCCGGAAAGGGGAAGTTACCAGTTACCCTGACAGTCCACAGGTACGTTATCTTAGATGCAAAAAGACATTAGGCTCAGGAAAGCTTTGTCAGGGAGGATACTGGCTAGGACACGACTACCCACTGCAAACTGCTTTTTAGTTAAAGGTTTTACACTCCGGCCATCCTTTGTGGTTACTTTAGGTCTCAGTTTGCAAGGCCACCACCACGCAGGCCTTCCCTGAGGTAGTCAGGTTAGCACGTGGCCCCTTCTCGTCCACATTTCTCTCCATGTCTTTCTCTGTGTGTTTCTGTCTCTTTTCTTATTGTCTTTCTCCCTGATGCATTGTGTCTGTTTCCCTGTTTTGCTGTCTGTTTCCTTTTCTCTGTTTTTCTCTCCTTCTCTCTGCATCCCACCCCCACTACCTCACTCCCCCTCTAGCTCCCTCTCCCGGGGACCCCATCATCAGGCTGCTCACGTCGTGGGCTGCTTAAAACCTGCCACACACATTCTCTGGCTCAATCTTACCTGTGTCCATCTCTGTTTAAAAAAACCTTGGACCTTTGAGATTCCAACAAAAAGAGCATAGTAGGACCTCAGGGAGCAACAACCTCATTCTTGTTGCTTTGTGTTTTTGAGTGGTGCTCAGCCCCAGGGTGTGGAGCAGGGGTCCTCAAACTACGGCCTGCGGGCCACATGCAAATACAAATATTGTATTTGTTCTCGTTTGTTTTGTTTTTTTACTTCAAAATAAGATATGTGCAGTGTGCATAGGAATTTGTTCATAGTTTTTTTTTTAAACTATAGTCTGGCCCTCCAACGGTCTGAGGGACAGTGAACTGGCCCCCTGTTTAAAAAGTTTGAGGACCCCTGGTGTGGAGGCTCCTGGAAGCCCTGGGCGGGGGCCTGCTCCCCCCGCCCACCCAGTCCTGGGCTGCTTCCCCTCCCACGCGCACTGTGAACACGGAGGGGAGTTGAGCTGATGGCGGTCTTGTTTCCTGGAGTCTCCGCGTGTACAGCAGACTGCCCGGCAGCTGCCTCCGGATCCCGCTGAGCCGTTTGCCACAAATCCCTCTTTTGTCACCGTTTAGCCGTGGGGTTTAAAAGAGTGACAAGAGAGGAGGAGCAGACTGAGCTGTGAAAAGACCCCGGGGAGGTGTGAAGAACATACAGCAGAGCCAGACATCCTTGGGGTCAAGCCTGGCTGGACACACAAGGGCTGGATAATCCTGGGCAGGGAGACAGCTCACAAGTGCTTAGCATTCCCAGTGATAAGCTCCATAGAGAGGGTCTCATTTAATCCTCCCGGCAGTCCTATCAATGACAAGCCCGTATGGATAAGGAAGCTGAGGCTCAGAGAGGCTGGGTCACTCGTCCAGTGTCACACAGCTAAGTGGTCGCCCTTCGAGCAGTCTGATTCCTGAGCCCAGTGCCTGGAGCTGGTGGAGGGATGGTGGTTCCTGCGACCTCCCTCCCAAGGCCTGACCACCACCAGCATCCCAAAGGGAATTTCTTATCCATCACAGACCCACGTGGGGCACCGTGCAGCTGCCTCTGTTGCTGCCCCTCACGGGCGGACCCCTGGTTGGTTGCTAAGGGAGATGGTAAGTGAGGATAAGGCATGTTCAGCGAGTCTTGGGGAAAGTTGGGTCTGTTTCTGGAGCATCCAGAGCTCCAGCCAGCGGCCTCCCAATGCACATCCCTGGGGCAGCCAAGAGGGGGCAAAAGGGCGTGGAGAGTTTAAACAACTCTCCCAGGAAACACGCTCAGCTCTCCAGACAGACTCTTCTCCGGGAAGGGCGAGATGGGCAGCGACCTAAGACTTTTTTCTTCTCACATTTGAACAGTTTTGAAGTCATGGTGGATCTTACAAAGGATGCCCCTTCCTAATCACTTGGCAACACTTTCTTCGGTGAACATAAAAGAACAGTAAGTCCTACCTTCTAGTCTATGAACTACGGGAGCTCGGGCGCTGGCTCTCATTGGCCCAACATAGATCACGTGCCTCTCTCTGGCCTTAAAAATGCTGCTACCAGGAACAAAAACCTGTAATGAATGTACATGGACACTCGGTTGGTTGGGCATCCTCCCACGCACTGAGGTTGCCGGCTCCATTCCCCGTCAGGACCACGCCCAGGTTGTGGGCTCGGTCCCCTGGGGGGGTCGGGCGTACAGGGGGTGGGCCGATCAATGTTTTTCTCTTTCCCTCTCCTTCCCTCTCTCTCTAAAAATCCATTTAAATATATTGTTAAAAAATGTAAAATGGCTAATTTTACATTATGTGAATTTCATCTCTCTAAAAAAAAATGAAAAGTTGGTGGGAAAATAAACGTAAATCTATAAAAAGCCCTCCCAGGAACTATCCACAGGTAAGAAGGGAAACGAGGCAGGGGAATGAGAGGCAGTCAATAAAAAACGCAGGAAGCGAGTTATGCATTTGCGTAATGGGGCTCTATCCCACCGGGGAGCCCTGGGAACCGGTGTAGACACATCTTATTCTCCCCATTGGAAGTGTCGAGAACAGAGATAATTGTCTCCCGGCTCCCATCAGTCACCGGGTAAGGGCTGTTCCCAGCCGCGCTGGTCTGCCACCTGTGCCACCAGATGGGGCTCCAAAGAAAGCCCTCGGGGCCCTAACCGGTTTGGCTCAGTGGATAGAGCGTCGGCCTGCGGACTCAAGGGTCCCAGGTTCGATTCTGGTCAAGGGCATGTACCTTGGTTGCGGGCACATCCCCAGTAGGGGGTGTGCAGGAGGCAACTGATTGATGTTTCTCTTTCATCGATGTTTCTAACTCTCTATCTCTCTCCCTTCCTCTCTGTAAAAAATCAATAAAATATATTTAAAAAAAGAAAGAAAGCCCTCGGGGCCAGGGACCCAGGCGCAGAGGAACGGGAAGGACCCGGAGGATGTGCGGCCTCTCCTGCAGATTCTAAGACGAGTGGACGTGAGGGGTCTTTCTTCTGGGGCCACATGGCTTTCAGCATCCAGAGCCCAACAAACAGAACTGCTTCTCCCTTATTCATTCCTGAGAGGAACAAGGTGCTCACGGGATCTCCCTGAGGATCCCTTCTTTGCTGCTGGGTCTAACCAGGTGCGGCACCCAGCTCCCGGGGAAGCCAGAGAGGCAGCCAACAGCTCTCCCGCCGACCAGTAACCAGAATGTGTCCCCAAACCCAGCAGGATCTCAGAGCTGGTGAAAAATGCACGTCCTTCTCTCTTCCCCAGCTCACACTCAGATCTGTAAAGCCTCACGCATTCTGAAAGCAACTCACCCAACCTGACACTTCCTAACAGGACACGCTGGGCCTCCTGGGAGTTAAGGCCTCAGGGAAGGAATGCCAGCCAGCAGGCAAGGCACCCTCGCCAGAGCCTTGTCGCCTCCCCAGCTCCGTGATCGCACGTGTCTGGTGTCTGACAGGCGGCAGTCGCGCATCTGCCCGGCTGGTGGCTTAGCATTGGAAGTGCTGAAAAGGAGTTGAAACCTTGGTGACGGAGAGAAAAAGAGTCTACAGACCCAGGATCCTGGGGGGAAGTGACTTCACCTTCGTCATTCCGCTCCTCTTTCTTTAGAAGGTCAACTTGGCCGTGTCAGAGAAAGCCCCAGAACACGGTCATTTTGCCATTGATGTTGCCCGATAGACTGACGTGCGCTCCCCGCGGTGGCTGGTGTGTGCAGAACCTGTCACCACCTCTTCCAAACACTGCTGGTTTCCATGGAAACAAAAAGGCCCTTACAGGGAGAGAGCTGCTGCAAGTTTCAAGATGTCCCAGAGTCTCCCCGCAATATATGTCTCTAAGACCTGCTTCGGAAGAGAAACAATCGCACAACGTTGCAAAGAAGACAAAGGTTGATGAGAAGAATGGGTGACACCCTTTCTGGATCCCAACATCCTGTTGAGATTCTGTCCTTTTAAGAATGAGCTCAAGGGAGCCCTGGCCGGCGTGGCTCAGTTGGTTGGGTGTCGTCCCATGCCCTGGAAGGTGGCCGCAGGTTCTGTTCTCGGTCAGGGGCTCCATCCCTGGATGTTTTGCTCTCACATCAATGTCTCTCTCTCTCTCTCTCTCTCTCTCTCTCTCTCTCTCTCTCTCTCCCCTTTTCTCTCTCTCTCAAAATCAATTTTAAAAAATCCTTAAGTAAAAAGAAGAATCATCATCATCATCATCATCATCATCATCCCTGGCCGATGTTTGTCAGTGGTTATACATTGGTCCTCACACCAAAGAGTCAAGGGTTCGATTCCCAGTCAAGGGCACACACCTGAGTTGCAGGTTATATCCCTAGCCAATCCATGTGTCATTGATGTTTCTCTCTCTCTCTCTCTCTCTCTCTCTCTCTCCCTCTCCCTAACCCCTCCTCCTCCCTCCCTTCCATTCCCTCTAAAAATTAATGGAAGAAATATCCTCAGATGAGGATTAACAACAACAACACAAAGAAGACACTCAAGGGAGGTCACGGGTGAAGCAGACCCACTGACCCAGGGCTCCTGACTTTCACGCGTGATTTTGTTACGGCCAACAAGCCTCTCTGCTCTGTCACTTGCTAAGTGAACCCAGAGCCTCCCACATGTCAATCTGCCTCCTACTCTCAGAGCTAAAAGAGAGCTCCTCGCCTCGGATGCTTCTGTATCTGGATTTTAAATCCCCTCTGGAAGGCGTTAACACGAAGCCACAGACAATGGCTTCCTTGAACGGCTGTCAGGTTGGCATAACAAGGTGAAATTTTCTCTTAAGCTCCTGAAGAAAGTATTCCATTTATATTTTTAAAAATAGGTTCAAAAAGTAATTAGACACACTGGAATTTCTTTTTTAAAATCCTCTCCTAATAACCTAAGACCTTGTCAGTTACATCCTATTCTGGCCTGTGGATTTGGTTTGGGCTGTAGCGGTTCTTGACTTTCACTTTCCCACCATTGTTTCTATCACAGTGACGGGCCCCGGAGGAAGGTCACATTTCCACAAATTCCGAGGGCCACCGCCACGTGTCCTGCCAACTCATGCTGCCATGAAGGTGGGTCCACGGAGGCGAAAGTGTAAGGTCCCTCTCGCCCTCCTTACCAAGTCCCATCTCTCTGTGTCCATCTAAGCATTCGCCCTGTGGGCACAGACCTCTTGAGCCTGAATGAATAGATTCCTTTAGGGCAGGTCTCTGTTCGCCCTCCTTGCCAAGTCCCATCTCTCAGACCTCTTGAGCCTGAATGAATAGATTCCTTTAGGGCAGTGGTTCTCAACCTTCTGGCCCTTTAAATACAGTTCCTCATGGTGTGACCCAACCATAACATTATTTTCGTTGCTACTTCATAACTGGAATGTTGCTACTGTGATGAATCGTCATGTAAATATCTGATATGCAGGATGGTCTTAAGCGACCCCTGTGAAAGGGTCGTTGGACCGCCAAAGGGGTCGCGACCCACAGGTTGAGAACCGCTGCTTTAGGGGCAGAGAATGTGTGTGGGGCAGGGAAAGTGTAGGTTATATAACAGCAGGAAAATTCCTCGCTCCCGACACCAAGTCATCTGTCTTCTGGACAGAAACTCCGAGGCTGTGTTTGCAACGAGCTGTTGTTATTATTATTGCGCTTGTCATCATTTCTGCATCTCGGGCCCTTAGTCAGTGCCCGGCTGTGGCTGTTAATTGGTCGGTGAGTTGAGAGCCTCCTCCTGGGCAGCTGGCGCTGGGAAGGTCGGCCCTCTCCCCCAGGTTCCTCTCCACCGTGGACAATTCCCACACAGAGGGCCCTTTCAAAATAAGAGACCAGAGATGGTCACATTCTAAGCAGTAAAAGGTGAAAGGCACACATGTCGTGTTTTCAGAGTTGGGGGAGCCCAGGGGCATCTTCTGGGGATGGGACAGTTTGGAGACAGTCCTCGCTTCCTTTTCACCGAGGTCTCCTGGGTGGGCTGCCCCCAGGCAACGCATAAAGACGTGAAGAGCGATTACCGAAGGCTTGGACACTAGAGTGATGCTGAGGAGGAGGGGAGGTCCATGGCAGAAGGGAGAATGGTTGAGGGGGGGGGGTCTGTCCGTTTCTATAAGCAAAGCCCAGTGTTCTCAGTGTGGTCCCCAAAACACCCCCATCTGCCCCACCTGAGCAGCTGGTAAGTGCAGCCCCCAGATTCGACCCGGAGACAGGTATAAGCAAGGGGCAAATTGGACCAAAAGACAGCGAAAGGGAAACTTGCACACACACACACACGCACACACACACACACACACACGCACGCATCTGGCTCAGGCTGCTGCAAACTCCCAGATGCATAGAAACCAAAGTAATTACTGAGAAATGCAAAAAGGACTCAGCTCCGTGGAGCTGCCCTAAATCCATTCACTGTGCCCGAGCTTCTGACAGGGATCCCGGTGACTTCCCGCTGCGGCCGGGGGGTGCTCGCCTTCCCCAGCCCGAGGGATGTGACCTACGTGAGTGACCAGGAGACCTAGACTGTCCGCTCTCTGCCAACACGCTTCTTCTCTCTCCCTGGGATCCAGGAAACCCTGGTGACCCGCGGTGTGAGCAGGCAGCTGGCCAGGCAAATGTGGGCACCAGGGCCCGGCCCGAGCCCCTCCTGGTAGGGAGGCAATGCCTCTCTGGTTGCAGCTGCAGAAAGAGGGAGGAGACTGGGGGGCAGGATGGTGAGCTGTGGGGCCAGTGGATTGGACATCAGCTCTGTGAGTCATGCCCGCCCCCCTCGCCAGGCAGCTTTATCCAGAAGTTGCAAATTCCAGTAACAGCAGATCAGGGACATCTCTCGGGGACTGTCGACCAATCACAGGTGCCCCTTGCTCCGCATCTGAAGAGCTTCTCTTCCAAACCGCATCCTGAGGTTTTCCTTGCCCTGGTCCCCGGGCTTCCTGAAACCAGGAGGTTACTCTGCGCTGGAGTTGGAGCCTGGTGACATTTGTTGACCGTGGACGCTGCGCCTGGGTGTGGCCCCCAGTCCAAACAGGGATGTGATTGTTTTTTCCCAAGTCCTGGGGGTCAACCAGGCACCTGTCTTCCTTTTGGCCCTCCAGGTCTACTCTCTGGCCTTCTCTTCCCTGGTCCTTCCCTGCAGAGGGCGACTGACATGGTCTCCATCAATGGGCTCCCTCCACTTTTTTTTTTCTTAATATATTTTTATTGATTTCAGAGAGGAAGGGAGAGGGAGCGAGAGAGAGAAACGTCCATGATGAGAGAGAATCACTGATGAGCTGCCTCCTGCACGCCCCCTACTGGGGGTCGAGTTCGAAACCCAGGCATGTGCCCTTGACCGGTATCAAACCCAGGACCCTTCAGTCCACAGGCTGATGTTCTATCCACTGAGCCAAACCCGCGAGGGCCTCCCTCCACTTTGATGTCCAGCTGGAGATGGGCCACGGGGAAACCCAGCAGAAGACAAGAAGGTGGGGTCCAAGTGAGGTCGTTCCTCCCAGCTTTCTCCTGCAGGGTCCCGCCAGCCATGTTTGTCCCTTACAGGCAGAGTAGAGTTCTCTCCTCTAGTCTCTCTAGCTCCAGATTGTGGTATCCACGCTCTCCCTGGTCCCTTCAGGCCTGTGGGGGAAACAGCTCCCCCTGTCAGTAGCCCTGGGTACTGCACCATCCTAGAGGCATCTTTAAACTCGGCTCAACCCCTTTATCCTCAGATGACCCAATGGGAATGTGCCACTTCTGGGCACCTGAGTGGTAGTAAGCATTGAGGTGAGAGCCAGCCTTACCTGCCTCTCTTCTCCCCTGCTGTGCCTGCCACCCTGACCTCCCCTTGAACTCTCACAGCCTCCTCCAGGAGCCTTTGCAGGTGTCTAGGGTGACCCGTGTGAGGCCACTTAGAATAAAACAAAACCCAAGCTCCTTCCCACGGCTGGAAAGACCTGAGCCAGCTCTCCAGACTCATCGTCTCACGCTCCCTCTCTCTGCCCCAGCCCCACGGGCCTCTCGCTGCGTCTCCAACACGCCAAGCTTGTGCCTCCTTCTCAGCCGCCGCACTCACTGTGCCTCCCCGCCCTCTGCTCGCTCCCAGGGCCGGTGGGGGCGAGGGGAGGGGGTTCTCCGAGGTCACGAGGTCACGTTTCAGCCTCCTCCTGCAAACTCCCAGGCAGGCATCCGTGTGTTTTTATTTTTTTAATTTTTTGGCACCATCGTGTTCCGGGAGCTGCAAAGTCAAGTGCCTACGGGAACATGTCAGGTAACATAAACAAGGCGAGTGGCCAAGGCCAATAAAACTCATTCAGCTCTCCCGGCCTGGCTTTTGTTCCCCGCTTTTGGCAGAAACCTGGAAGCAGAGAACAGTTTCCTTACTATAAACACACACACACACACACACACACACACACACACACACACACACCATAAAGTCGATGACTGTGGCAAGTGACAATCCCTTGGGTTGGGGAGCGATGGGAAGTGGGTGGAGACTGGGACAAGCCCCCGACCAGCCAATTTGCTGTTTTGCAGAAATCTGGCCCGTTGTGGCCTGTTTTTGCCATTTTTTTTCCCCAAGAGAAGCGGCAAATCCGGATGTTTATGTGGCGTCTCCTCATTGTTACGTGTTGACGATTTTTAAAAGCCCTGCGCAGGCCACACTGAGCGTGTCTGGGTTGTGCTGGACCTAACACAGAGGCTGCCAACACTGATCGCTGCCAGCGGGTACACAGTTTATGTTCACCAATGATGCGCTGAAGTAAAGGA